CGCAACAGGTCGGTTCCGGTTATTTTTGGGTCCCCCCTCATATATCATCGATACCAAAATCAGTAGTTAATTACAATAAACTTAATACCATTATTCTCACATCATTTTCAGATTAACGTCAAAACTATAATACATCTATACCACAGGCCTCCAAGCAGTTTATTACATGTATACAAGTCTGAATATACCATTATGTCTGTGAGAATATAACAAAATTGCAACAACCTGACTTGATGATATAGAATATCACATAAAGAGTTTTAACCTTATTTTATATCATAACTTTCGTTTGAATAAATTTGTACTTCATTGTTGCTACGATTTGTCGGTGTGAAAACTCCACAGTTTCCACGTATTCGTTGTCGTGGAAGTGTCCGTTCCAATTGTAGCAGTTGTCGCGGTGATGGACGTGAGGTAATGCGTCACAATACCATGTATTTTATAATGTATTATCAAGTGTCCAGCTTTACCATTGTAATTGCAGTTCAGTGGTGTGTGAATGTGGTAGTCATGTGTTTGCCTGATGATGGCTTTAATAGCGAAACATGTAGCCAAGCTAATTTTAGCCTTGTCTTATATATTGTTGTGTTGTGATGGACTGTAGTAAAGAAATTGTATGTAATAACACAACAGGATGCACGAAATAAAAATTATATATAAAATGCTTTTTCGCTTGTTTCTAGCAGCGCGTCCAACATAAATAAAAAAGTACAGGTACTTTAATTGCTGCTTTTTTGTGATGTCAGGTAAACAGAAACAGTAATGTAATGTGTATGTGCTTACAGGTTTCTTTGTATAACCATGTGACCTCCAGCAGCACATCCAAACCGTTGCCACCATCACTGAAGCAATTCTCTTTAGACCAGCTAACACCTGAGTCACAGTGCTTCATGTCCTTTGCACTGGATAACGCATCTTTGTACATATGCATGTGGTCAAGTGGGAATGTCAGTACCGTTGAACTGAGCAGTCATTTTCGCTGTGATATCATTGATTATGCATATCTTACACAACAGTGTGCAGTTGAGCCCTTTCAAGCTAAAATACAACTGACAGTGGGTGATACAACTGCTATTAGCTGTGTTACAAAACCCATAGCTGTGAGATTTGGACCTGCAATTGGACACACATTGGCAGTATCAGCACAACTCTGGGCTCAAGCTTTCCGTAATTATGAATGGGATGTAGACACACCTGCACCCAGTGCTGAATTCCAGGTAAACTTAATTTCTCTTGTGTGATCCTTCAACATGTGAAGCATTGTTGCAGTAAATATGAAGGAATAGCCCACTACTTACCCTTGTCTCCTGGAGGGTAAAGCATCCAGTGAATGAAGCTAACCATTTACCTCCATCCAATGCTGAGTTTAAGAATGCATGAAGTTATACCTCCACTCCCTTGCATGTCTTTATGGCATGGAGCCTAAATTAACGCTTCACAGACCGGCGATTTAAATATTTAAATCACCCTGGGGACTGGCATTTTTAAACCTATTACCATAACTTATGCACTGTTCACTTTAAAAATTAATATAAAACCTCCTAATTAATTTTATGAACTAAAATTTTTGGAGAACACTTACCAATGCTCCTAGAAGTGCTTGAGAGTGTGATATTTCTGGAAACATTCCCCTTTATGAAGTGGCATTACACAGAACGTGCACATGTAGACAGTCATACTCCTTTTGTTGTGTACTGTGCAAACACAACATCGTCTAGAAGGCTGCTTCCCCTTGGCATGTTCACTCTTCACAATTTTCACGAGGGTATGTTTCCGCATATCACCTGAGAGTCGCCCAGGGGGGTCAAAATGAGGCCTGCGTGGGGTGGGAGTAGACGGCCCCGGTCATACTAAGACTGTGTCTGCCGCCACCATGTGGTCTGTAGCTCAAGCTTTTGCCACATTCAGCAGAAATGCCTTGTATTTCAATTTTGAATGAGGGTTTAGATTTTTGAAAACCAAAAATGAGTTGAAAATGGGATAATTTATAAGCCACAAGGCAACTTTCTTTGTTCACTTTACTGTTTTCTGAGGAAGAGAATAATAGACCAAATATTGATTGGCTCTATCAACTCCCTTTATGAACATATTATACTCAGAAATACAAATAGGCTTCTTTACTTGTCCATGTGTCCTTTGAACATCAACCACGCTCTAACGGCTCATTGTTTGCTGAAAATGGGAATTTCTAAAAATGGATCTGTTGACCAATACTCTTTTAGATTATCCCTCTTTGTATGCCCTATTAGAATGATTACTGCAAAAAAAAAATATTTCTGCTGAAGTGACATCCACCCACTTCAACACCTTATTTTTGTCATACTCTTCACGGTGTTGGAGATAGTATCTGTTAGTGTCCTGACATAACATGTCAAAGAAACTATCTCCAAAAAACGGTTCTGCTACTTCAGACGCTTGTATTGGGTCCGATGGAATTTGTTTCACCCCTGGATTTCCAGTAAACTGTCCCAAAGTAGACGTTTTGCCTGCTTTTCCCCATGTGGCTGTCCCCTCAATGTTACTACCTGCACTTTCATCGGAGCTACTTTCACTTGTATTGTCTGTGGCCACAATTTTTTGTTCGCCCCTGCCACACTCACTATCAGATTGTGAGTCGCTGTCACTAGCAGACTCACAAGGGACGTCAGATAGCTCATTGGAGAACAAGTCAGATATGTTCTCTGAGAAAATTTTTGGACCTCAACATCTTCCGACCTTGATCCATTTTGCACTAGTAACTTCCTGCCTTGTGCATGCAGCTGGAAGATGAACAAAGGCATTTTCTTTTGGAGTGGGAAAGGAAAACAGTTTCGTCATAAACAGCAGGGTCATGTTACTGACTGCGAAGCAAACATTCAAGAGGTCTGTCACACACCCGGCATGCGTCTGCCTGGCGCCAGTGCAAGGTATAATGTGTTTCAACATAACGTGTCCTAAAATCATAATAACATGCCACCAGTCTGCCACGTTTAAAAGCGCTGGGCATAAAAATATGCCACCGGTCTGCAAAGTGTTGATTAAACACAGGAACACATTTACCTTTATTGAAACACATTATAACTATAGGCTTTATCTTCTGTTTTACAGAGATAAATATTATGTTAGGTTATGTTTTATGTTATGTGTTAAACAAATAATGTGGAAAGTGGGACCCCCAGTTATGTTTCTTTATTTAATGGTCCCTCATTCAACATTCAATTTTAGTGATTCCAAGTTAATAATCTGAGTGTTAAATTTTATCCATTTAGAATAGTACTCAGTTTAATGTTCACTGATCCCCAAAGAGACCTTAAATGGGAGTTTCACTGTATTTGAAAATAACACTGCCATCATATTTGATATAATATATCAAAATAGCAAGACGTATACTCTTCAACAGATGTCACTGGAAGGTTGGGAGAAGACAGAGATGCTTTCAAACACTAAGATTTATAATGTACATAGAACGTTTTTGAGTGTTTAGGCTGGAATAGAATTAAAAAGAATGTGTTAAGTCCTATGGGAATATCTGAATTGTTGCAATTTCAGTTATATAGTGACCAGAATAATTCGCTTTGCTTGCTTGAACATAGCATCACTACCATCATCGCAATGCAGTATTAGTCAAAGCTGGAACGGCAGTGAAAGCCCAGAGATTTCAGTGCAAAAATAACTTAAAATTCCTTCATCAGATCTTTCTTACATCATCTTACATCAGAGCAGTGAATATTGTCTTTCTTTTTCAAACAGTTTTGAATAGTTCAGAGTGAAAATGCCATTTACAAAAGTTCATCTGTTTGGGAACAGTTTTGAGAACTGTAATTGCCAAGTTTAGTATTGTTATATGCCTCTCTTAGTGTAAATATATTTGTGAATATTTCTTAGGCTTCTGTTGGGATTTTTTTTTTGATTAATGTACTCTATTTTACCAGGTCTTCCTTGAAAACTTTGTAGTAACTCAGATGATAAAGAAATTACTGGCTTTCATAGAACATGAAGGTTTATCATACCAAACCATGTGAATTATGCCCATTTCCTCAGATTTAATGTTATCCTCCTTATAAACAATGCCCTTCAAGTTTTCCAACCAAAATTGTGTATTCATTTCTTATTTGCATCATATATGCTGTATGTTCTACCCATTTCATCTATTTTGGTTTAGTCATCCAACATTATCAGTTAAACAGTAAAATTTATTAAGTGCTTCATTTTTATTTTTATTGAATTTATATCAAAATATATTGCTCCCCGTCATGGCTTCCGAGCACGCCTCTGTTTTAATCATTATAATTATCTTTCATTATAATAATTACCAGTACCATTATATCAGTATCTATCTTTCAAGCCCATGGCATCACTTCTCAGAAGATTGTGACCTTCGGTAATCTTTCTGGTTTATTAGTACATAAAACTGATCATACACCAACACATTAATTTGAAATCGCTATGAGTACAAGTAATGAAAGTGGAATTAAATTCCAAACCAGACTAACACCTTTCTGAATTTGTATATGAGTAGCATTGTAGAAGGTGTTGTGCTTATTTCTAGGTCATTGTGAGTCGATACGTCATCTGCAATGACACGACACATCCAATAAGATTTGGACAAGCACTGACGGATGAAGACATACTTCTGGGTAGCCGTCAGTGTCATTTTTACTCTTGGCGTACTCACAGAGTCAAAGAGGTGCTACGAGTAGGAGTGGAGGAAGGTGCTTGGGTGTGGTCTCAGCCGTTTTCCATTGATGTGGATGGCTTACAGCTCTGTAGTTTAGCAGACTGTTGTATGCAAGATGTTAGTATTGTTGTGAAGGTGTCGTCATTGTCATTCACTCAGAAGCAGGTATGTGTCAGTATCGAGGACATCTTACTTATTGCAGATTTAATTTTGTTTCTTCATTGTTTTCATGTTCTATCGTAACACTATATAATTTCATTTTTGTTTAATAAAAATCAGCACACACTTTATATTTAAGTCAGGTAGGTTTATAATGCTAAGGTTCATACCATCATAGTATGATAGTAACCAAGTAATTGGAAGCATAAATATTGAAGGTGACAGATGTGATAGATTGATGATATGGAAGAGGATCCCTTGAGACACAAGTGTCATTGTAGATTGTATTAAAAAAGGTAAAACTGTCCCTGTAACAGGCTGTGGAGGCCCATGGGTTTGTGAGAATTTGAGGCTCCCACATTTTCTAGAGTCAGCCTTACATGCCAGCCACTCATTACCCCCCAGGAAGCTTCCTGGCGCTCATTTCTGTTAGAGGCTGAGTTGACCCTAGGCCCATAGTGCGGCTGGAAGATTTAGATCAATTGAAAAATCCAGTGACTTCATCAGGATTGGAACCTGCACCCTTCCAGCTTGTAACATAGTGGATCAGCCAGCTGTGCAATCAGATGCCCTTGTAGTTTGTATAAACAGTGAAAAACACTGAAAATGACAAATTTCCTGCTAAAACATTTTTGTTACATTTATTGCGTGTGCGTGTTTGTGTGGTTTTTGTTTCTTTTTTCTTTTGCATATCATCATGTCACTAGCATGAACCATAAGAAATGCAGCCTTTGGCCAGCTGTTAGTGTTGTCATTCTGCACATCATGCATGTACAGATTTATTGTTTGTACTTGTTGATGGATGTTCAGAATGCATATCACATTCAGTGTACACTCATACCAGTATAAAATGACAGGATCACTCAAACACTTGTTCTCAGCTGGTTACTGCATCTCCACATGTTATTAATCTAAATAAATAGTAAAAACGGAGAAGTTCTTATGATGTTCCTAAGTGTCTGTGTTGAGGACAAAGACAGTTTTCTCTAATACCACACAGGTAACCCTGTCAGGCCAGTTGGTTGTCACAAATCTCCTGGCAGAGCACCTAGAGTGCCATATTTTACCCTTGGTAGATGAGGCTTGTGGGTCTCAAGGTGAAGAAGGACAGAGCCTTATTGCTGTGGGCAAGAGCACCCCTCCATCAGTGCTTTTGGATGCAAATAGAAAAGTGGCAATGAGAATTAGATTTCATGGACTGGACAGCGTTTGGTCTGGAGACATTCCCTTGCAAGAAAAATCCAGATCTGGACAGCCCTGGCTTGTTAAGGTCCCTCTTCATGACAGGTAAAGTAAACATATCACCACATTTGTACAGCATGCAACCAGCATAGGATATCATGTCACTGGTGACTTAAGTTTTATAAATGTAAATCTATATTTAGAACCTCCAGATAGCAAATCTCAGATATCAGTAAAATAAATTACATTACTCTTATGTTCAGTATGTGGAGATATTAAAATAAGAAAGCTGGAAGCTTTCTTACTCTATAAAATTAATTCCTATAAAAATAGTCCAGAAACTCAGGTCCCCTGAATCTCTTGTGTATAAAAAAGAGGATCTGTCTGCCCATCCATCCATTTCATTTATTTTCTCAGCATTTCCACACCATTGCATATATCTAGCCCAAATTTCACATAATGATAGAATATTTGGTCAGTTGCAAAGCAACTTACTCCCCACTTCTTTCTCTATAAGAAAGACACTAGGATCACGAGAACAGTGGGATCATCCATTGTTACTACCATTTTTCCCTAACTCTGCACTGTAGAAAAGTGGTAGACAAGATGTTCATCTTGGAGAGAACCCAATAAAATTGTTAATTCTGCTGCCACATACATGTGGTTCAAGTCCAAGGCACCTTATTCCCCCATTATGTCCTCTATAAGAAAAGCACAGGGACTGTGATAATATGAATCTTATTCCTTCCTTAACACTTCAGCTACTATATATTATGATGTTAGTAAGGAAAGCTGCCATTTTCCAAGTGAAGAAGAGATATTTTGCTAGTTTATTTTTGTGAAGGAAGACAAGACCCAAATCAAATTATGACCTTCTGCCACAACAGCATGGCATTATACACCTTTATGTGGGATATGAGCTGAACTATACAAATATATGGAAGGAAGCAAAATGTCATCCAAAGATGAAAAGCACACTAGTGATTTTGTTGTATAAACAACGTTTATTACCCAACAAAAATTCTTGTACTCAGTAAACTATGAATAATTTAAATATATTTATTATTGCACACACAGAAAGTTGTCATAATCAATAAAGAATTCACTACACTGTATAGTAGACTGTGCATTTAGAACCGAAGCTTTCTGAAATATTCACTGATGAATAATTCCCTACCTCCTACTATATGATATGACAACCTTTATGGCAAATTGCACTGTGAGTTCTTGATGCAGAATCTTTGAACTTTACTTCACAGTCTTAATATGAGAGAAGTATGAGGTGACATTTGAATAATTTGTAACATGACCTCAACTTATGTCTTGGTTTAGAAATGTAATTTTAACATCCTGACTTGACTCTCTGACATAGAGTCCCAGACTATATCAATATCAGTAACACACTGTGTTTGAAATGTTACTACAGTTGAGCATATTGCCATTCCAAAATCTGAAGGTATACAGTAAACCACTATGATAAGTTGTGTTTGTTTCATAATAGGGGCCAGTTTCTGAGTGTGTGGTGTCGTGTGATATGCCAGCATATTGGGCAAGGTGTGAAAATCCTTGCCATGTTGTGCCCCCTATATATGATCCGCTCATATCTACCTGTTCCAGCAAAAGTCCTTATAGACACGCCTGGCCTCAAGGTTCATCTCGAGGTATGGTTTCTTATGTAAATTTCTGCAGTTGCTTTGTGTTAAGTGGTGGCTGTTTCCATTTCTGAATTCTCAAATGATAATATTATCTTCCATTATTCTTACTTAATTCCTTCCTCTGTTCCATACGTAATTACTAGCCTGATAATTTTATTTACCTTCCTTACCTGGTAAGTGTAATGTTTTCTCAATTCAGACTGTCTGCAGATAGAGGTTTGGGGAGAATATTTGAATCAACAGAGAAATGCAGAAAATTTTGTAATTGTATTTGTATTCTTCACCACATATTATTAGCATTATCAGGTTGGACAGGATGAGCACACACAGTTGAGATGAAAAATATATACACAGTTTTAGTTGGTAAACTTGAAAGCATGAAGTTACGTGGAAGGCAGAATGACTGTACAAAGGGGGACCCAAAAATAACCGGAACTGACCTGTTGCGCGCGCATGCTTTGTAGTTACGAGTTGTGCTGCTAGGTGGTGTTAGCTGGGGGTCTCCCGCGACTGTTAGTGAGCTGGCGTCAGTCTGAGTTAAGTGGTTTGTCTGCGGTGCTCTGTTGTGTGCGTTCCTGTTTCAACCCTTTGGCGATTAGTGAGATGGCCGACCAGAAGGAACAAAGAGTGTGCGTGAAATTTTGCTTTCTGTTAGGGAAAACTGCAGCCGAGACTGTTGGGATGCTTCGGCAAGCCT